AAGTAAATGCTGCAGTGGTTATAAAAACGAGTGCCATTTTACACCCTAAACTGTTTACGTAGTTCAAGTGCATTGCAAGAAATAAAATGTCTAATATAGGACAAACAATGCATGCTACAAGATCTGCTATGGCTAAAACAGGAATGAAGTACCTCTCATCAGAAACATCTTTTAACCGGTACCAATATACAACAATGACTATACTATTGCCAATCAAGCCGCATATCATATACACACACAACGCAGTTATATTACCAATACTGTTTCTCGCAAATTCACTATGCCATTCCACCGAAAATTCATTCGTCTCATTAGGTGTCATTTTAACTTGATGGAGTTGTATCGATCAGGGAATGTACATGCAGGAACAAGGAAGAAACTTAGTTAATTAGTTAAATATTCTTTTTATTCGAGTGTTACCTGCGGGTAGACATCATGTCTTCCTTTAACAAAAGGAAGATACAAACCATTTTATGATTGACTATTTTGTTGTTAGATAAATACTATACATATGGTATATGGTATATCTTCATAACGAGGAAGACATATTGTTCATTATAATAATATATTGTTTTCATTCAATATAACATATTTACTTAAATAGATTTGAATTGTTTTATTGAATTTGTCATTTAATACTATTACTTCCGTGAACTAATCCAAGTTGAACTCATTATGTGCAAGTAATGTTATTGTTCCGTGGTACGTTATATCAAATTTCTAACTAAGAGTTCCTTCTTTTATTAGTCCATGTTCTATAACAAGAATCATAAATGTGTGGTTAAAACTTCAAAAACTTAGAAAATTGTCTGATTTTATCAGCTGTGAATTGACAACTATAACCATTCTTTAGTAAGAAATATTGATTTAAATCCTTTTCTGCATTGGAAAAGGGGTGGTGGTGGTGGTGGTTGGGGGAAAAAAGGGGTGTGTTGAGCCTCCCGCAAAAGGGGACAATGCATCTTTTTTCACAACAAATATATGAATTTATTACGGAAATTAACTCCATGGATAATTCAGTTTCAAGTGGGAAATTATATTAATGAATCAACGAACCCCCCCCCCCCCTCCCCCTCCCCCCAAAAAAAACCCAAAAAAAACTTAGTCTAATGTTTTCATTTATGAATAACTGGTAAATTATTAAGTAAAGAGTTCTTATCAAATACGGGACATCGCATCCTAATTTTTACGATGATGTTGTTAATAAGACCTGTAAATTTAGATACCATCCATGTAAACTCAGTGATCATTTGTATGAATTTGTTTTTAATAGGTTATCAACTTACACCATAATAAAATACTTAAACATTGTTTTTATAGGTACTAACATTGAATATGCTTTTGATAAATTAATACATTACTAAATATATATTTTGGTATAGTTTGGCACTACACAATATCATGCGTTTATGATGCTGTTTATAACGCCTTTACAATGAAACCGTTGGATGTGTACTTTTAAATTGATACGTTAATCTGGGTTAACATGATTTATTTATTAGTTGGTCATATAGCTCTTCAACTGTTTCGGTTCTTAAAAATCATTATCTTTCAAATATTCGGCTTTGAGCGTTCCTGATGACGGTAAATCCAGAAAAGCGATTCGGACGCATGTAATTTATAACGTGTTGTTTTCATTTCTTATTGGCCTTGAACTAGCTTTCAATAACAGCGATATAACAACAAGAGAGGCCACATGACGTAGAATGTAGGCAACTATAGATTAACATATGGCCTTCAATAATGAGCAAAACAATTATCTTTGTTATGCTTTCATTGATAACCTTCTGTCATTGATAGGGAGGCCGTTGAGTATTTATTACACAAGTTTCTATTCACTACCCCTTTCAAAACTACAAAACACATTACACATAGTAAGCTATAAAAGACCCCTGAACGACAAATGTAAAACAATTCAAAAGAGAAAACTAACGGCATGATTTATGTACAAAACAATAAACGAAAAACAAATATGATATACAGCAACAAACGACAACCACTGAATTACTGGCGCCTGAATTGGGACATGCACATACAGAATGCGGCGGGGTTAAACATGGTTTTGCCTTTAAAACTTTTGGCTGAATCAGTTCTTCAACGTTTTAATTATGTTTAGGGTTTTAAAAATTGTGATCTCGATCATCATTCAAGACACATTAATTGTCGAAATGCGAAGTTTGTACAGAACAACCAGTACAGTCAATGTTTTACTTAGGTGGTCTTGCATACAATTTTAAAATAATGTTTTTTCCAAATGCTCCTTGAAAAATCTTTCAAAATTATGAAAATTCCAAAGGCAAAACCCCAAATCCGGACAAGGAATCAGAGATATGCATAAGATATATTTATTCATTCATTATCAATTATTTCCAAACTTTTAAAATAGTAAATTTCAATAACAAAATATCCGTGATTTCATTTTGTGATGCTATTGTGTTATTGTGCTATGGTAATTTTTGTGTTCTTGTCTTTCATTTTTGCTTATGTACTTTGTCTATAGAGTGTTTATATGCCATTTTGTTTTTCTTTATTTAAATAGTTATTTGGTTTTATAGTGATTAAGATTATAACACAATATTGACTGCTTTACCCCAATTTTTTTGACATTTTTACCTATTATGTCTGTTTGTTTTTGCTCACACATTGTTGTCAATATAATGGAATGCTATATGACTTTCATACAAATGAGAGGTTTAGCAAGCTATAAAACCAGGTTAAATCCACCATTTTCTACATAAGGAAATGCCTGTACCAAATCAGGAGTATGACAGTTGTTTTCCATTCGTTTGATTTGTTTGAGCTTTTGATTTTACCATTTAATAAGGAACCTTCCGTTTTGAATTTTTCTTGGAGTTCGGTTTTTTTCTTTTTTTAAATTTTTTATACAAGGTTTTTTTCAAACATCAAAGTCGGACAATGAATAATAGAAAGAAGCTGAACTTGTGATTTTACTATGATGTTAAAAAAAACATTGCCTTTTTATAAACAGTTTGTTGCACAAAATATATATGGGCCAAGGCCTTCCCAAAATGATATTTTACACACTTTTTAACCTTTGCAACAAAAAGTTTTTTTAGGTAAAAAACAGGTTATGCCGGCTATGTTTGCTTTGAAATAAACATAGTTTTGATTATCAAAATTTGTAGGGTGATCCAGTTTGGTTTGACTCAATATTGAACTATGGTCTTCCATTAAGGCCAACATCATCTTCTATCTTAGACTTATAGTGTGATATGTCTCAGTTCTGTCTTTATTCAATCGTTTTGATAATCGTATATTTACAAGATTTAAACATGGACAGCCTACTGTTGCCATTAAATTTTTACGAAAAGTTATTTGTACTCTTTCATTTTTTTTAAACAGGACTGTTAAGGAGATATAACTTGAATAAGATTGAAATAAGACATACACTCAAGAACACATGATAATATTCAGGTACTGAATGTTCTGTTTTATTTCATAGAATACTGTGGCAGTGTATGAATAAGTTTTGTGTCATAGTGTCAATTTTGCCCTCAGTTAAGATTTTTGTGAAAAACTTCATTATAAAATATTCTCATATAAATTAATTGAGAAAATACATTTTAGCAGTTATTTATTTTGGAATTTGTCATTTCATATTTTTTCTTTGTAAAGTAGAATTCTTATCAATATATTACACAATTAACTTATATTTTATAAACTATATGTTGACTGATTTCAGCTACAAGCCAAGTTGACACGATAGCACATGTGCATGTATTTTTAATCAATAAAATTAAGAATGGAAATGGGGAATGTGTCAAAGAGACAACAACCCGACCATGTTTGAGATAGCAAGTTGTTGTGTAAACAACATATGTCTAGGTTACCGGATTAATTAAGGGTTTTTGTTCAGTTTAGTTAAAGTTTTAAAAGTTCTTTGCCACGCCCCTCTATACTCTAAAATATCAGGTAACTGAGGTGGCTTGGTTGTTTATCAAATTTGATTGGTCAACCCTGAAATAGTAACGCGAATTCAGTTTTAGTTATAACTTTTTCAGGTGAGTCAAGTATTTTATTTATTCAAGGTAAATATAATTCGTTTTATGGTTTTTGTTTAAGTTTTCTGGCATGAATTATTCTAGAGAATCGTAAAACTTCGTCAAGTTTTATTTTACTTTTTAAATTTGAAGTTATATAATTTATAGAAATTTTGTGAGACTTAGTTCTCAATTTCAGATCAAGTTTTTTTTTCTATAAGGATAAGGTTTGATTATTTAAGATGTTTTTCATGAATATTTTCTACATGTGTAGTTTAAAATAATAAGTATTTATCGTAAACAAGTTTTGTCGTGTAGCAATATATCACTATAACGAGTTAGGAAATTAGGTGAAAAGCAAGCATGTATGTTTCAAAGCTAATTTCCCTATATTATATAATAAAGTTTTATATATATTTTTATTTGTCAATTGCCTTCAGTTTTCGTAAAGCTAGACATGTCCCAATCACAATTATTCATTGTTTTGATATACAGAGTAATTTCCTCTTTTCGACATTGTAATAGAAACAATTTTGTCAACCAATACTCTACCATGATTATTAGTAAAAAGATTAACACTTTAGCACATGCTTTATGCTCACATATATAGGTTCAAATATTAGATAACGCATGATGCTCATATGCTATAGATTTTGTTCGCATCTTGCTCACATATTTGAATGCTATTATATATACGAGTCACGATAATCATACATGTTCATTTCTCATTGGCATATGCTCATGCCATTAAGTAAAATTTATCCAATGCTCATTTAAGTTGTGAAATTAAATGAATTATATGTTTCTAATAATTTCATTGTACACTATTTTATTGTTATTATTGTTGTTGATTATGATTTTATTAATATGACTTTTATATGCGCTTTTAAAGAAAGAAGATCTTAAAACAATTTCAGTTTTTATTTATTACTGTTTTCAGGCCCTTGCTCATCCCCCTTTTGACCGCAAGGTGTGCTGTTGGTTAAGCCCTAGCCTAGCAGTTATACTACAGTCCACATTACCCAGAAACTCCGACAACTAGATCCAACAACTCAATTCTGACATTTGTATCGTTGAAGTTACATAACAAATATCTCTAGGGTGTCAAAACATGTATTTCAACTAAGTCTATATTTATAATTGCAAGTTGGCCTCTCAAATAAAAAATATATTTACATATTTACAATGTTGAAAGGCGTATTTTCACATGCTTTTAATTTTTCAATTTATTTTTTTTAAGGGAGGGGGTACTAGTAATTTACAATGTCCAGCAATATAAATACACAAAATTAACTCTATGTAGAATTTGTTGATGAATGTTAATGTTGTTCCCTTTATCTGCAAGAAACTTAAACTACAGATAGTTCATTATATACAATACAATTTAATTCAGTAAGAGTGCGAGGTTTTAACATACTTTTAAACATGTTCGAAATAAAGTTTTAGCTGCATTTCGAAATGGAGCATCCATGAAAGCATATATCAAAGGGTTGATAAAATTGTTTATCAAATAGGTACGAGATACCCATAATATAATAATAAGTTGCTTCAATGATAAATTTTCCCAAAATCCAGTGAAAATTCCTTCTAGTGTCAGAACGATAGAAGCTGGTACATAGCTGACAATAAACACGGATGTGATGATCATGAACATTACAGAGAATTTGTTTTTCACCCTTTTATTTCTCATTTCTCGCCCTTCTCGCATTGTCACTCCCTTTCCGTGGTTAAATGATACATGAGACTCGTGGTATCTTTCGGTGAAATCATTTCTTAGCCTCTGAAATACTTTATCTTCAGTACTAAAGTCAGTAATGCTTGTTTTGTCATTAACAGATTTTTGAAGTTTACGATTTATAGGGTGATTCGATTTGGTTTGATTCAATGTTGGTTCAAGTTCTTCATTATTTCCAACACCATCTTCTTTTTGAGACTGTCTCGTTGGATATTTCTTAATTTTGTCAATATGCAGACTTCTTGAAAGACGGGCAAATGCTCTTTTAAATCTATTTGGTCTTAAACTACTGTATATAGTACAGCCAATTCGCCCATACAGAAATACAAACGCTACGAGAACTAATAATAAAATCGCGCTGAAAGCAATGCCATATGCTGCTGCGTTAAGGTTAAAATCATTCTTGACTCTACCACATACTTCCACAATAATATAGCCTTCACTAGTTAACACGATGGGACCAGACGTCCATGATAGTGGTAAAGCAATCGCCGTGGAAAATATGATCGACAAAATAATCATCATGCGTCTCAGTTGTAATGACAGTTTGATTTTTTTGCAAATTTTAAAATACCTTTGTACGGCAATACACATCAACAGAAAAATTGACATAGATTGTGTATTGCATATAAGAAATTGCACAACTTCACAAAAGATGCTACCTGTATATTTCATGTTTATCATAATAAAAACAATATCTGCAACAAAACATACCACACACGCAATCATGTCTGCTAAGGCCAAAACAGGAATGAAGTATCTTTCATCAGAAACATCTTTCATTTGGCATTTGTAAACGACAAGGACTATTGCATTACCAATAATACCACATACCGAAAGCAATAATAAAATACTGATATTTCCAGTACCGTTATTTTTTAATTCAGTATTCCACGCTTCCACAAATTCTTCAGATAAATTATGCGCCATTTGGTTTTATGAAAATGCCTACGTCTTTGATTTTACCTATGTGAAATTGTCACAAGTTATTCGGTTATATATACAATGTATTTCTATTTGGGGCTGCCCTGAAGGAAATTAGTAATACTATTTTAGGAGAACGTCCGTCTAATGTTTTTATTACAACTCAAATTAATCAAAGCAACCAAAAGTTTCTTTAGCATATACCAATCATTAAATACAATACAAAATAAGATTAAAGAAATGTTTTTGTATGTCTTAATTTGATTATGAACCCTCGGAAATCAAATTAGGTTAAACTACAATAGCTATAAAGTGCATCTGATAACTGATATCCGCTATTAATAAATTAACAATTGTGATCTGAGTGCAAATGCCCATTTACAAAAAATGATGTTTCCTAAAACGTTTAATTAGTGTTATTTTAAAGAGCGTCAATGATTATTCATCGAGTAAAATAATATGTTGAAATTTTCGTGACTGCATACTACATGTTTTTTTTGCAATTCGCTCATAGGTCAATTAATATTTTTTTTAATGCTATCATGTCTAATCGCGCAATTGTTTTCTATGGAGTTTGACCAATGAGATAATAACGGTTACACTGATAACAAAAGGTCCCAATTACATGTATTAATAAGAGTGTCCAATCATGCCGAGATTTAATGACAAATTGTAAATTCTAAAAATGTTATTTCCACAAAATTAATGTTCAGCTCGATTTTTATTTTATTTGTGTAGTATAGGACAATGATTATTATGAAACGTACCCTTAACCACTTATAATGGATAGGATTAGAATATAAAACAAATATAAAAATAAGAAGATGTGGCATGATTGCCAATGAGAAAACTCTCCTCAAGACACCAAATGACACAGAAATAAACAACTATAGGTCACCGTTCGACCTTTAACAATGAGCAAAGCTCTTACCGCATATAAAAGGCCCCGAAATGACAAATGTAAAACGTGAATGTAAAAATTCAAACGAGAAAACTAACGGCTTAATTAATTTAAAAAATAATGAACGAAAAACAAATTTGCTACACAGCACCAAACGACAACCACTGAATTACAGGTTCCTGACTTGGGACAGGCACATACAGAAAGTTGCGGGGTTAAACTCGTTTGAAGGCACCAACCCTCCCCGAACCCGGGACTGTGGTGTAACAGTACAACATAGGAACAAACTATAAAAATTAGTTCAAAAAGGCTTAACTCATTTGATACAAATAGAAATAAATCTAAGACTAAATTAGCAATCCATACACATCCAACATCCATTGGATTTAGTGTAAAGACGTCATAAACAGTAAAAAAAAACCGCAACCTTATGCAGTGCTAAGATACAGGTATCGACAGATTGTAGAGTCATGAATGTGCATATGTATATAAAATAATATTTAGTTTGATTATAATTTACTGATAACAAAATCAATATTAATACAAATAAAAACAATATTCAACGATCTAGTTACAGTGTAGAATTGGTAACCTTTTATAGTAAGTTTATTGAAAGGATCGATAAGATTACCCGGATCGTTTTTGAATTTTCTAAGCTAATTTTGTGTATTTTTTAGATCACAGCAAAGCACTTAATCAAGAAATTCTACGAAGAAGATCAGAACATCCTTATTTCATTGTTGATCTTTGATTTACTGTTTATTTGATAACTGTATTTTTTGTCACTTGCTTTTTGCAACGACTATTGTTAGAAAATGCGGCTAAATAATAAAAAATGTATTGCACTTAGGTTTTCCTTTATTGAGAAATGTGTATTTGAAGGCGGTCATTCATTCCTAATAGTACAAATTCTAGTTTATTTCTGATTGACGACAATTATGGCAACATAACATAAGAAAACAAGATTTTAATTGCATTTATTAATATGTTTACCTTTTATTTTGACATTTCTACAAACATAACACAAAAGATAAAATTGAGAATGGAAATGGGGAATGTGTCAAAGAGACAACAACCCGACCAAAGAGCAGAAAACAGCCGAAGGCCACCATTGGGTCTTCAACACAGCGAAACAATCCTGCACCCGGAGGCGGGCTTCAGCTGGCCCCTAAACAAATGTGTACTGGTTCAATGAAAATGGAAGTCATACTAAACTCCAATATATATGAACTAAAATTAAAAATCATACAAAACTAACAAAGGCCAGAGGCTCCTGACTTGGGACAGGCGCAAAAATGGCGGGGTTAAACATGTTTAGTGATATTTCAACCCTCCCCTATACCTCTAGCCAATGTAGAAAAAAAAAACACAGCAATACGCACAGTAAAACTCAGTTAAAAAGAAGTCCGAGTCCGATGTAGGTTAAAAAAGAAACTAAGCAAAATGACAATGATACATAAATTAACAAAGGACTACTAGCAGTTACTGACATGCCAGCTCCAGACCTCAATTAAACTGATTGAAAGATTATGTTTTCATCATATGAAAATCAAGCATAATCCCTCCCGTTAGGGGTTTAGTATCACACCATCATAAAATTTATGAGAAGAACATAACCTGTATCATGCCAACAACTGGTTTTAGAATAACTGTGTTTATTTCCGATGCAAAGACCCTATGAGTGAATCAATATTAATGCCAAAATATGCCATCTTTAATGACCTGACAATAGTATCGTAACTATATCCCTTCTGAATAAGTCTGTTAAATGGTTTGGTTAGCTTTTGAGGTGAATGCCGACATTTTTGTGCTTTGTAAATTATATTACCATAAAAGATTGGATGTGAAATACCACAAAAGGACTGTTTTTGTTTCCGTGTACCATTTTTTAAGTACTTGTTTATACTTGTGTTCAAACATGATAAATTCATACCAAAAAGGCTGTTTTCTGCTCTTTGGTCGGGTTGTTGTCTCTTTGACACATTCCAAATATCCATTCTCAATTTTATGTATGTTAAAACTAACAAACAGCTCACCACGGAAGTCTTCATTATAATGTCGTAAGCATTGTTTACAGATAAAAGTGACTCGTATGATTTAAACACCAAATCAACTGATTTTGTAAATAAAATTTTTGCAGCCTCCTGAAAAAAACAATTAAGAATAAGTTGTAAAAGACCTCATCAACGATACCGGGCTTATACATTTGTACGCCTACGTTTCGTCTACAAAAGAATCGTTTTAAAGGCCAAATTAAACATGAAGTTGGAGTGCATTGAGGACCAAAAGTTCTGAAAAACAGCTAAAGCTTAAATGATCTATTCCTTGGACGGACGCCAACACGAGTTTATTGACCGTTATTAAATATCTGTTTCACATATGACTACAGATATGTTCCAATTGTCGTAACCACAATTCCAAAACCTGAGATCACTCTAAGTTTTGTTTAAAAGGTGTTCATGTTGCAATTGCTTCGTTTTAGTGCTGTTCTTTGTGTTTTTATATTTGAATATATGTGCTGTTTATACCGGTAACATGTTTGTCTATCCTATGTCATGAAAATCTTGTTGCACATTCTGTTCAGTTTCAGGGTTAAAATATTTAAATGACCGATGATTTATGAATGTGGTGATGTCTAATGGATAGATAAGAATCAAATACCAATCATTTATTGCTTGATGCCTTATTACTTGATATAACGTAGCAACATATTGTATAGGAGTAAAACGACGGGTATCACATTTAAAGAAGGATCTGCTTACTCGTTAGGAACACTTGAGATCACCTCGGGTTTTGTTGTTGCTCAGACTGTAGTTTTCTGAGTTATGTTTTGCATACTGTTGTTTGTCTTCTTTGGTTGTTGCTTTTTTTGCAATGGCGTTGTCAATTTGTTTTCGACTTATGAGTTTGAATGTACTATTGGTATCTTTCGTCTTTCTTTTAACCTTCGGCAGCACACGATTCACCACATATTTTAACTGGGTTTGTGATGTTCTATCTGTAGTAGTCCGTATAGTGTTTTGTGATTGTTGTTTGTCTTTACGTAATTTTTGATAATGACCATTGTGTTGTCTGTTATTATTGGATTATTATTGGATTCAAAGTCTAAAGGTCTCTTTTTTCCCTTTGTACGAAAACAGGAGATCAGAACTATTTGTAGCTGAATGGTTAACCTGATTCGGATATAAAATAAAGATTTTTTTTGTAACTTAGACAGCGAACTCATGATTGAAAGTTTGCAATATTCTACAGCAAGAAGAATCTTGAAATTGTAACACGATAATACAAGCCGAAACGTTAAGGCTTGATGTTTGAAAGAACATCTACAAATGTTGATCATTTAATGGTGATCAGATGTCACATTAAAATCAGAAGGAACATCACAACTGGTTTGTTCTCTGCAACTATTATGTGTCATAGCAGGTGATTGTATGAAAGTCTACTACAAGTGAACCTCATTTGGGTACAGTCGGATTATAATATAACAACAAGAGGCAATCTGTTATTCACTTAAGTTTATTTTCACAATTTCTTTCCTCTGACACTTCAGGTCGAAATGTATTTATATTTAAGGGTACTGATGATTGAAGAACCCTCTAAATAAAAAATTCCTTTGTCATGTCAGTAGGATGTCGAAATTGCGTCAATAGTGGCACTTAAATTCATATTAATCTTCATGGAAAATGTGTTTTCCCTCTTGTCTGAAACTACTAGGTTAAATTTATTTAAAGATATCTACATACAAATAAGAAGATCTGGTATGATTCCCAATGTCAACAATCAATCAGAGTTCAAAAATCGAAGATATAGGCAGTTATATGTGTATGGGTCCCAGACAATCTTCAACAATGAGAAAAATGCCATACCGTAAAGTCTGCTATTAAAGGTGAAATATGAAGATTGAAACTAGAAAACTAACCACTTGATTTGTAACAGTACAACTTACCAAAATAAAAAGACACAAAGCACAGGTATTAGAGTACTTGCAGTTGCTGATAGCTAGTTCAAATACTATTACAAATAATAAAAAATCATGTTCTCCTTCTAAACTACAGTTACAATTAGTGCCCATACAACGAAGTCAGTGTGAAGACGTCATAAAAGTTTGATAAAT